TACTTTACAGTGTATTTGCTTGAAGCCAAACTGACCTGGTGGCAAAGGCTACTATTCTAAATAAAAAAAATTGCAGTCACTGCTCCTTTACTTTGTAGGTGCCTGTATAGAAAGTTGTTTAAAAGCTTTTTTTGAGAAAATTATTTAAGAAATGGATGATTCACCAATCTATCAGCATTGGTCCTGCAGCACTTAACTTCTTCTTTTTTTATAGCACCTTGGATTGAATTCAGGACCTTGCACTTGCCAGTCAAGCAGTTATTCCACTGAACTATCTCCCCAGTACCTTAACTTCTAAACTATTGTTTGAACCAGATTGTTCATGCACACATGCTTCCAGACATGAAGTCAACTGAACTGTACAGACTAGGGTGAACACTCTCAGCCTATTAGCAGAGTAGCAGCCTTTCTTCTCTCACAGCTCACTCCCCTATTTAATGCTTACTAGTTCTCTGCTTTCTGTTTTACTGTACTCAGCCCAAAGCTCTCTCTCATGGAGAATTGATGTCTAAGGAGCTTTACCCTAAAGAAGCTCCAAGTTTCTCTGTTGTTGAAGTGTTATGTAGATTTTGGGGGATGAATGGAGCTCTCATAGAGGGTCCCTTGGCAGCAACCATATAAACCATCATTTCTAGTACAGTAAGTTATGCAACCATAATTCCCAATCCTGAAGCTCTTTGTTCCAAAGTCCACAATACCGACTGCCTAAAACCCCCTTCTTAAAGAATGTCTGTATCAATATTTATATTTTCTTCTTTCTTGTTTTCATTGAAAATATAAATCACCAGTCAGCTTTTTTAAAACCAATAACATTATACAATGTTATGTCAGAGGAATAATTCTAAATATAAAAGATTCTTTCTGAAGCTCTATTATTTTAAAAATTATTTCAGTTATAATAATCTATAAAACTAATGATGTTATGGAAGTCACAGAAGTGAAGCTGCACATGACTGTTGCCCTCATGGCACATAAAATATCTTTGGGAGGTAAACTCACAAATGGAAACCAGTTAAACAACCAGAAAAACAGCTTATAAGTTAGTACTAGGGTCAGAAGTTCAGATGGACATTTAAAAAGGCATCCTAAAAGTTTAAAAACCAAAGTAAACTAGGGTAATTATGTAAAGGGTGAGATCCATGAAGAGGAGGACAGAGGATGGAGGAAGGAGCATATTCAGAGAATGGGAATATAAGTGCAGGGGTGATTCCCAGAAAAATGAGAATAGTGGAATACAATTCAGGGTATGTACTGATAATACTGGAAAGGAGGAATATCTGTTACTTGCTTGCTTAATCAAGAGTTCCTTGAATGACTAACTGTGAAGTATACAGTGAGTACCATAGCAGGAAGTAGAGCCAACAGTGTTTTAAGGATGTTAGTTTGGAACAGTTGCTAGTTGGGCATGGAAAAGTTGAGATATTTGAAGAATTTGGTAGATAGGGGAGACTGAGAGCAGAAATACTAGTTAGGTATCTATTACAATAACTCAGCAGAAGGACAATAAAGCCCAAAAGTGAGCTATAATGGAAAGGAGAACATGATTATAGTTTTGTTCAGAGTGAGTTAATGGGATATGGCAAATTCATCAGAGAGGTGAAGAGAAGTACTGAGGTGAAGAATTGACTCTAATTCTCATCAGCAAATGCCATGGCAGATATGTCCTCGCAGTCATCTAACTCTCCTTACCCATCCTATTCTATTAAAACTTGTGCAAAATAGCTGTACACCCCATTTGTAAATCTCTGACTCATTCTCTTATTGTTTTATGATTTCTGAGGTCATAATACTTAAACTTTAAGTCAGTGGCAATATGATTTAAACAGGTAAATTTCAAAACTCTGCAAAATCAGAATATTTCCAGGATAAAACTCATTTTTTACCATACACCTCCACTTATTCAATGTGCCTTTAAAATGTTCAGTGTTCACTTCTGAAACCAAGCCTCTACCTCTAGATCCAACAGTAGACTCAATTATATGATTGCTTAAACATCAAAGCTTTCCTTCACTAATGTCCTTACCAGGGAACACAAATAGGCAGGTCTTTTTTCTCTGGTTGAGGCAAAAGCCTATGTTGTTCAAATCAGCATACTGTACATTCCTGTGAGGTTTTATGTGTTTGATCACTGGACAAATGGAATATCTGCTTTTCCCATTGCTATTAAGTCAGTATGTACAACACACACCCTGCCCAAAGCAGACCTGTTTGCCTGGTAAAAGTCAGGGCTTTTTCCCCTGGGACAGTCTATTTCTTGGAAATGCTCATAGGATTATCAATTTCTCCTTTTGAGGTGTGAAAATAAAATATCACCCTGAGGAAACATCAAACTGTTTCCTGACATCAGCCAAAGAGGAATGTGTACACATACTCAGTCTGATAAAAGTAGATACACATCAGTGGCCACAGTTCAACCAGATTATTTCCTCCCTGAATCCAGAATTTCTGTGGTCCACTCAGAAAACTTCCAACCTCTGTAGTCACTGTCTCTATAATAAATTTAAATGTCTGCTTCTGAAAGTCAAGTTCTTTCACAATCTGGCCTTAGCTGACCTTTCCAATGACACTACATGCTACGCCTACTGAAGATTCTGCCAGCCTAAAATACTACTGTCCTCCATTATTTAGCCCAAACCCTATCTTTGCTGGTGTGTTCTACAATTTAAACTCATTTCCCCTTCAATCCCAATGTCCAAATTCTTGGCATCCTTAGTCCTGTTGACTTGGAAAGCTATGCAAACTCTCCTCACTTGCCCCATAGGAGTCACCCCTCACCACTTTGCCCTCCTAGCTCTAGACACATGGGTATCTTTATATCAATGTGAGTTATGACTCTTAATCTCATAGATGATGGCATGCTCTGTGAGGAGTTTCTGCCTGATTCCATTCTGAGTGCTCTAACCTAGGCTCTGGTATCTGTGCCATGGTGGAAAGGATGGAATGTAGTTGGCTGGTGGTTTCCAGAGGGTAGATAGGTGTAGGGGAAGAAAGAGATGTTAGTCAAAGGATGCAAAATTAGTTAAATAATGAATTAAGTTAAATAGATCTATCCTACTGTATGGTGAACTCAGTTAATTATGATGTGTTATAGTTTTGCTATTACTGTTTAATTTTCATGTGTGGTACTGAGAATTAAACTCAAGGCCTTCATATTGAACTCTTTTTTGTATTATCTTGGTAACTTGCCAAGTTGTCTAGGATAGATTTGAATTTGTAATCCTCCTGCTTCAGCCTTCCAAAATAATGGGCTTATAGGCATGGGCCACCATATATTTGATATATTGTAATTTCTTAGGGAAAAAATTATTTTTTCTCACAGTTTGTAGAGGTTTCAGTCCATATCTAGCCAGTTCCAAGGCAGGATAACATGATAGAGGGGTATCACAGGGAAGAAACAGGCCAGTGTGTTGTAGGCAAAAAGCAGCAGCCTTCCTCCTCTTATCCCTTTTATTCCATCCAGGCTATAAGCCATTTGTTAATGCCACTCACATGCAGAGTGGGTCATTTTTCTTCAATGAATTCAATCAGGATCTTCCTTAGTTCCCAGGCTTGTAGCTTCTGCTGATGCTGGGCTAAACATATAAGAATTTGAGTGAACCCTAAGTGGCCTGCAGGATGCAGGAGCACTGCAATCTGTGGGCCCAGTGAGTGCAAGAGCAGAGCTTTCCTGGTGCCATTTTAGAAAGTTAGTGGACTCTGGGCAGCCTGCAGGACTCTGGTAAGCTCTGACCTTCCTAAGCCCCCAGTGAGCAGATGTAGAGCTTTTGTTGATGCTAGTCCAAACATCTAAGAACTTAGAAGGACTCTAAGTGGCCTGCAGCATGCAGTAGAGCTTTGACCTGTGGGCCCAGAATGAGCAGGCCCAGAGCTTTTCTGGAGTCATTTAAGAACTTTGGCAGACTCTGAGAACCTGTGGGAATCTCTACCTAGGTGATTACTTGGAGTTTCAAAAATGCTAAAATGTAGAAGCAAAAGGCAATCTCGATCCTCTAGCCACCTAGGACAAATCTAGGAGACAAAAACACACTAGAAATTGAAAATCACACACCTGAAATCTCTGAAATGATAGCAACTAATGTAAAGAAACAAATCCATCATGCTATAGAAGAAATAAGGTCAGGAATTATCTCTCAGGTCCAAAAAGAAAGGACAACAGTCATAAAAGAAGTGCTCAGTATAGCTAAAGAAGACATAGATAGAAAAATAGATAAGAATAGAAAAATGATTAAAAACTAAATGAACAATAAAAGAAAGAATTAGAATGTATGAAACAGATTCAAACTGATATCCAGAACTCCACTGAAAGCTGGCTAAACTGCTTGAATGAAGCTGAATATAGATTTTCAGACCTTGAACAGTATTGCAGGTAATGATTGTGAAATAAAAGATCTCTTAAATTAACAAGGAACCAGGAAATAATAATTCAATACCTACAATGCAGTGTAAAGAAAAATAATATAATAATAATAGGTGTTAATGAAGCAGTGGGAGACAGCACAAATGATATAGACAAACTCTTTGTAGAAGTACTAGCAGAAACTTTTCCAAACATGAGAAAAGACACTGACATACAGATAAATGAGGCATATAGAACTTCCCAAGCCATAATCACAATAAATGTACACCTAGACACATAATAATCAAGAGATCAAAATTCAGCAAAGGAATAGAATATTAAAAGTTGCTCGAGAAAAGAAATAGATTACCTACAATGGAAACCTGATATTTTCAGCAACCACAAAGAGATAGATGAATTAGGCAAAAAATTCAGCAAAGAAATAACATAACTAAACCAAACTTAGGAAGAAATTGACTTATTAAACCTTTACAGAGTATTTCACGTAGCAAGAACAGAATAAACATTCTTCATAGCTGCAGAAGGTATTTTATCTAAAATAGACAATAAACTAGCACACAGAGCACTCTTAAGTAAATGCAAAGGAATTGAAGTAATCCCATGTATACTATTTTATCACCATGCCATAAAACTGGAAGTTACTGTACTCCCTTTGGCAGCACACATACTAAAATTGGAACAATACAGAGAAGGTTAGCATGGCCTCTGCACAAAGATGACATGCAAATTCATGAAGTGTTCCATATTTTAATACAAATGACCCTTTTGCATGTGCTTTATTAAACTCTGGGAGAAAAAATAACCAGTTAATTATTCATGGTAAAATCATAAAGTTCTAATGAACTATTTTTCCCAAAAATGTAAGACTATGCAGACTTTTTTCTGAGATCTTATGAAATAGGTTGTTTTCTTTTCTTTTTTAAAAAATGCTATGCATAGAAGGCATTGTAAAAGTCAAATTCTGGAAGAATTTAAATTTGGCACCATCGTCAAAACTCTTATAACTTTAAAAACAATGTTATCTAAAGCTTAACAAAAAGGAACACTTGCAAAATAACAGATATTTTGCTCTGGACATTTGAGGTGAAATTAGAGATGGAAATAATTTTCACCTGAGCCCCTAGAGCAGTAGTAGCAAGCCTGTGGTATGTGTGCTACCGCAGGCTGCTCATATCATTGAAAGCTCTAAAAGGTTTACCATCATTGCAGAGGTAGGTCAGGAAAATCAAGTTTGAAGAAGAAAAGGAGAAAAATGGAAATATAAGTCAACATGATACAGATTTATGCCTTTTTTTGCAGTACTGGGGATTGAATTCAGGACATTGTGCTTGCCAGGCAAGTACTTATTCTACTGAGCTATCTCCCCAGCCCACTGAGCTATCTTCCCAGCCCTCTGCCTTATTTTATTATTATTTTGTTTAGCATTTTTAACATGTTAGGTCTCTTAGGCTGGTTTTGCTTTTATTAGATATATATAGTTTGGTTAATTAACTAATGATTTGGTTTATATTTAAGCTATAATTAATTTTTAGTGATATTTATTTCTTTGCCATTTTTAAAATTCATTTTAGATGCTTTTTGTTGACTATTTTGAGCATTATCACCATGACAATATGTATTTCCCTTAAGACACTGCAAACACATATACTAGGAATGCACCCTTTTACTCTTTACTAGCTATTGTGAGATTGCTGTGTAAGTTAATAAACACATTTGTAAATACATTGTTTGCAGAGATAAAAGTTCTGAGTTACATAGCTCAGAAAAAGCCTGCTGAGTTTATGTTGTATTACTTAACACTGTATAAAGATGAAAAGAAACAGAAATAACTTCATACTTCATGTCTTCATTGCAACATAACCTTTAACTGGGAAAACCTTACTCCCCTTTCTTCTTCTTCCTCCACTTTTCACTATTGTCACCTTATAATATTCAGAGGATCTAAAGAGAAATTCTTTCAGATAATCATTAGCCCACATATCTGTAACTTATACTCAAAGATGAGTTGGGGTTGTAAAGTGCTTTTATAATATAATTTGTTAAAAGCAAAAATTGACTCACATTTTATTTTGACATGGCATGTCCTGAAATAAATATTGATTCAATATAGCAGATTGGTCACATTCTTTATTTGGAAAAAATTGTGATTTCTAAAAAGGAGGTAACTGTCTTCCTACAGTGTTGCATTTGCTTCTTTTTATATATCTTTAAGAAAGTAAGCAGTATGCTTGGGTTCTTTAACTGAAGTGGTGAAGTGTGTTCACAGTTTAGCTGTATTGTTTTTTTTTAAGAAACACAATTTTGC